AATCTAAGCTGTGGGAACCCTGAGACACCGTAGCAAGGAGGGGCCAAGTTTAGAAGCCGACCATCCGTCGCGACCGCGCAGTGTCAGCGCAGTTTGGTGGCAAACCGTTTGTGGTCGAATGTGCATTTTCTCAGGGTTTTGCGCAATTCTGGTGTTGAGAAGGAAGGGTTCTGCTCAAAAGTGGCGGTTTTTGCCACTGCTCGGAAGTCGGAGGTGTAGATGACTCAGTGTGTCCGTCAGAGGGCCTTGAGTCTAGTGCTTCTCGATCGCCTTGACATGTCGGTGTGCGACAGTCGCAATGAGAACAAGACGTGGGTTAGATGGCAAAGCAAGTTGGGATGCCAAAGAATGTTCTTGTTGCGTTGTCTGAATCGTGGCAAGTCGCCGAACAATGTTTCAACTGTCCGGTGCCGAACCTCTGCGGAGAAGACGAGGAGGAAGAAGGACGAGTGGCCCAGTGAGAGAGTGAGGTAGATGTACGGAAGAGAAGGAAGTGACGAGACACCCAAGTTGCCGAAGAAATTGAAACAGCTCCCTGCCGAAAAGACCAGCTTCGAGCTGCAGGCGCAAGCTTCACGGGGCCCTTCTGCCTCGTGAAGAAGGAGAGAGCGAGAGCAGGCGGGGGCTCACTAGCGCCCTTTGGGAGACCAATACCCACCCCAGCAACAATTGCGAAAGAAAGAGCGCTAGCAACAATTGCGAAAGAAACTATTCTCTGTCGTCCTTGGTTGCATCATGTACTGCATGTATAAATCACATGACGAGAGAGTAACATCTGCAGTTTTGGCCAATACATCATTCCTTACTTTCACACCTTCCCAATCATCCACAACACGCGCGCGGGCTTAATGCCCCGGGGGCTTTTCTCGCCCCTTAAGCCTAGGAGAAGAACAGCGCTAATATTGGTCAGCGAAGGAGCATTGCAGCGTGAAGCACTCATATGCCCCTCGGTGACCCGTCCTCCCTGCAGCTCGCCCTCTCAGGCCTTCCTTCGACTGTGCGAAAGAAGAGAGAGAGAGTGCGCGCGAGTAGCAGCATCAGCACCTTCGGCACTCTTTGAAATGGCCTTCGGGGACAGGCTCCCGTAGCGATGGTTCAAGAGAGCCTCCGGGGGCATCTCCACACATTGATTGTACCAGACATGCCGCGCAGACCCATGCTCTTTGAAGCAGGGTTCGTCCTTTATCTTGGCGCGGAGCGGAGTATATGCCCAACGCAAGCATGGTGATGTTATGTGCAGGGGACTTGAGGGGTGCCACTCCCTGTCACTGTACGTCAGTATCTTGAGGGGAAATGCAGGGCTCCGTGTTGTTCATGCCCCCTTGCTCCGAATGTATCCAGGTTTGAGATGGGGTGTCGGCCTGATCCTGTGGCGGGAATGACGGGTTGTTGTTGCTTTGCAGGCCTCCGGGTACCAGCAACAGCCTACTGTGAAACAGGAATGTCGTCCTCACTGAATCGAAAGGCCTTCTGATTTCTGCAGGTTTGGAGAATGCCATTGCTGATGGATTGTTGGACGGGTCCCATTCCTGGAAACGGCTTTGTAAAATTTTTGACAAATACCGAAGCTGGGCAATGCTGCTTCTGCTCCCACAGACGAAGATTCCAGCCCGACTTGTGGCAAGCTGGTTGGTGTCAGGCTGAAAGCAAGCAGCGAGAGACTCTGCGCGATGCTCAGATTTGGGACTTATCGTAATGCTTCTGGTCATGTGGCACGATAGGAGTGTTCTTCTAATTCTAAGCATAAATGAGAATGGTCTTCGATGATGTGATGCTTGCCGTACTCGTTTGGTCGTTCTGACTGATTGGCTCCCCTGTTTGGTTTGAGAGTGCTCAGGCGGCGACTCTCACAGAACATTCAGGCTTGTAGTGCAAGCTCTGGATTGCTCTCGCATAGCAGCCCACAGCCTGATCGCATTGTGGTCACAGGACTTGGCCAACTCACTGTCAAAGCAACAGGCCGGATGCCAAACTGTGCGAAGTGTCGAGTATCGTCAGCGCCGTTCAAGGTTGGCCTTGTTTCGCCTTCAAGCCAGGCATTCGAAGACCCAGGCACGGGGATCTGGATTGGTCAGGATGGGTTTGGGGCTGTTGTTGGGGAGAGGGGTTAATTTAACAAAACTAAATAGACATCAAAAAAACTAAATAGACATCAAAAAAACTAAATAGACATCAAAAAAGAACTAAATAGGCATCAAAGAAAACCACATGGGTATCCCGAGAGACTGACAGAAAGCCAGAAAGACAGAAACAGCAGAACGACAGAAAGAAAGAAGGAACAAAAGACAGAAGGAAAGAAAGAAGGAAAGACAGAAAGAAAGAACGCATGAAAGATAAAGAAAGAAAGAAACCAAGACAGAAAGACAGAAAGAAAGCAAGAAAGAAAGAAGGAAGAAAGCAAGACATAAAGAAAGAATGCGGAAAGAGAGAAAGAAAGAAAGAAAGAAAGCAAAAAAGAAAGAGGAAAGAGGAAAG